TCATGTTGGATTTATTTAATTGGATTTAGTAATTATATATTCTATCTCTTATATATATCTAGAGAGAGATTCTATATGGTATACATATGTACTTAATTATTTCTATATGTATATATACATGTACTTATTTTCATGTGTTGAGAGAGAGAAAAATTGTATCTAGAGAGACATTCAATGTGTTATCACATGCATATCTAGAGATATAGACATATGCACTTATTTCTATGTGTTGAGAGAGAGAAAAATATATTGTATCATTCTATGTGTATATATATACATGTACTTATTTCCATGTTTTTGGATCGAAAGTGTTTTTGATTCGATTCCAAAGCCTATACCTTATTATTGTTTATCCTTATGAAATATTATGTGTTATTATATTTAATTGGATTTAGTAATTCTATATGTGTTATCACATGTACTTATGTTATGTACCATAATAATTCTATCTATGTGTTATCTTGAAGATACAAATGGCTGCTCGGGATGATAACTTGAGTGATGACATAATGGCGGATATTATCAACGCCGCACCAATGTGGATGTAGATGACACGAGTCAAGATTTCTGTCGATTATGAGGATATCCTGAATATGCGGTGGTTGAAGATCAACAAATTGTCGCGCAAAGAAAATCTTGGCGAGGTATATTCGATTATCTATCATCTCTTATAGATGCATGCGTCACGTATATTTGTTGTTAATCGTTGTGTTTCTACTCATGTAGCGGTCTCTGGATCTACATCAACCACCGACAAAAGTAGGAAAGTCCGAGGGCCAAAAAAGCCATTAGAGGGCGTTTCATAATATCGAAATTCGACACCGACACCGGCAAACCATTGGGACCACATGCTCGGACATATGTCAATCAATGTGGGTTCATTGTAAGGATAGGATCCCGATTAGTGCTCGTGAATGGAAGCGAAGATATCCGCTCCTAATGTTAGTTTTGTATCCGATCGTGATAAGAACCTAGCTTGGAGAGATATCACTCGACATTTCACATTACAAGCGAGATGATGCTTTGAAGGAGCTAGTGAGGGATTGGACAATGAAGAAGATGGCAACATTGTTCCAGAGTTGGAAGAAGACATTGTATAAAAAGTTTATCTTGAAGAATGCTACGCCGAATTTCAATGCTAAGGCGTTTGTCAAGTTGAGTCCCATTGGGATGCCTTCGTAGAATACAAGACATCTCAAGACAAAGTGAGGAACGTGTGATGAGGAATCGGCGAGAATGCCCGATGTAAGCAATACCATCATCGCATGGGATCGGTGGTTATAGGAGTGCTATTCCCAAGTGGCGTAACCTAGAAGCGAGATTACCGCCAAGGAATCATACACGAAACAATAGAAAAGAACTGGCCTCAACGCGAAGAATTGGTTCTACGCTCATGGGGAAGCCTAGACCCGATACATCGGCAAGCTAATTTTCGCCAAAAATTGAGAGAGCAACACGAGAGACTAGCTCGTGCTAGGGAAGAAGCTGATAGTGGTGTTTTCAAGCCCAACAGAGAGAAGGATGAATTGACATATGCCCTAGAGAATCCCGAACACGGTGGTCGAACAAGAGGCTATGGGGCGGTTCCGTGGCTACACGCATTCCCAGCGCAGACAAGGATACCTCAGAAGCCGCCAGAGAAAGAAGGATGAGGAGGCGAACAAATTCGTGCATTGGAGCAATTTGTTGATGAGTCACGACAAGCATTGCTTGAATCACGTGAACGAGAAAAATCTCTTGAGGCAAGAATGCAGGAGGAGATCAAGAGGCAAGTGCAGCTAGCAATGAGTCAAATGCAATCGCAATCAACGCCGGGAGTCACCATTAGCCCCGTTGGTCAGATGAAAGCAGTTGTGCTTCTACGGAGCTGCCGATTATTCAAGACGACGCTGGGTTATGCTTCCTGTTGATGACATTACCGAGCCTCTAACAAAATGTGAGCTGCACATTCCAGATGGTAATGCATCAATCATGGTGGTAATGCCGGGGTTGTATCTCCAATAGACCGAACGAAGACACCAAGAATCCATGGATCGATTATTCAACTTTGGATATGCTAGCGTCTCGGTCGATAGAGTGCTCAAAGGTTACAGACAATGTTCCTCTTGACATTGAAGGTGGTGATGGGGAGAAGACACTAGGAGAAACAGAGAAGACATTTATTCAATGGCGCAAACGCTTCATCATCATTCTGAGGCATCACCGCTTCCCCTACCTCACCCTAGATACGAATGAAAGTGAATGAAATATTATTTTCCATTAATTTTCTATTGGCTTCAAAAATAATTGACACACAAATTGTTTTTATAGCAGGGTCTCTCCCCACCTAGCCTAATCATTCATTCCCCATCTCATCACAAATGTCGCTGGGGCGAGACGACTTCATCCCCACGGCGATCGCCAACTCCTACACCGCCCCATCGCCTCCTGGCGATCTCCAACTCCTACACCGGCCCCATCGCCTCCTAACGATCTCCAACTCCTACACCGCCCCACCGCCTCCTGTGCGATCTCCAACGTCTCCACGCCGGTCTCCACCAACACCGGCCTCATCGCCTCCACGCCGATCTCCAACACCGCCCCCCCCCTCCATAGCGACGCACTACAAAGACGCGTCTAAGGTCCCGTGACAAAGAAGACCCCAAGAAAAGAGTTATTTCTCAAGAAATACTTCTGAAAAGACCCGATGAGCAAATAGCAAATTGAAGAAGACAAAAAAAAGTAAAAGATTTTTTATAGATATCAAAACAAGAGTCAAGCAAAGCTTAAGGAGAAGCCGTACTTTTACATACCACGAGATGTCTTGAGGTAGAAGGTCGATGCTCACAAGAAAAAGATGATTGAACTTCGTAAGCCTTCGCCACTATCGACTATGACCGCTCCCTCGTGAAGTCACATGATGCGAGATAAGAAAAGAAAAAGAGCATCGGGGAAGGATGTCCCACACTCGGACAATGAAGCAACCAATGCAAAATCTTGTTGTTGCTAATGAATATGGTTCCAACATAGAAGTCTATCGACCGGATAACTCGGAGAAGTGTCGGTTCAAGCCCTTAATGCTTTTTTTAAAGATCTTGGTTTAACCTTGGATCAATTGACGGGCAAAGCTCCAATCCGAACACGGAAGTTGATACCGGAAGACTTATAAATATGGCAAAAGTCTGTACAACCTCATGACTCTGAATGAATTGGAGTGCATAAATGTACTTGCTCAACAAGTGGTACATGCAAAGTGTGTGGCGGGGTGAGCGGTGGATCTTTGTCGATTTAGAGACCATCATTACTTCCGTGGCGATGACCATCTTACATATTAGTTTCAAGAATTGCATCAACTATTCCACTTGGACGCTTCTGGACAAATCAATCATGAGCTCCTTTTGTTTGTAAGTGATTCTTACTTTTATTTAATAAACTCACTTCCATGCGTACGTGTATATAATTATCCTCACATGTAACTTATATTTATATATAGATTCCAGATGTCAGAGCTCCAAAGAATACAAGACACCAGTGTTGGCTTCATTGATCCTTATATCGTATTCAAAACCGATATTATTGTCAAGGACCACTGGGTATCTGAAGCACAGAGGAATATCATGAAGTTCTTCGTGAAGCAGCACGACAAGACAACAATACTTTTCCCGTACAACTTTGAGTAAGTGTTAATAATAATGTAGTCTACACATTTTATGTAATATCAATACAACTTATATGCATGTACGTGTGTGTATAAACCAATGCAGTTTTCACTGGATACTCATTGTCATTGAGTTAAACTCAAGTCGGTTACTAATCTTTGACTCGTTGAGAAAAGAACGGGCACTATACCAAGATATGATAGATATTATCCAGGGGTAATTTCGATCTCTCGCGCACAACTATTATTGAATAGACTTTGCCATAATTTATTAACGATCGTACATTATTGGTCGCACAGGGTTTGGAAAGAGTTTATTCGGCAACATCGCAAGGATTGCAAGGCACCACTTAATGTAGTTGAAATACCAGTAAGTTGTACTATATACACTTCCCCACGTGTTTAATTACTATATCGTACTTCAATTTACGTGTGAGATGATGAATAATCTTCTTCTTCTCGTGACAAAGGTGTGTTTATGGCGAGGAACCGTAATAACTTGTGTGGATACTACGTTTGTGAATTTATCACTGCGCACATAAGAAGAACTCCACGAAGATGTCCTCGAGTACGTATATATCAATATTTATTTATTTTAAAAAGAATATATATATATATATGTATTAATACTTTTCCTTTTATTTCAAATGCAAGACTGAATGGTTGAAACGAAGGGTCATGCAAAAAGACCATCTGAAAGCGGTTCAAGAGTCAATAGCGAGGATATCTTCTAGAAAAAGTGCTAAATCCCAACGGCGAGTTCTACTTTGATCTTAAGGAATAAATGATGTAAATTAAATGTTTATTGATATCGTTATTTTCGAGAACAAGATTATGAAAGTGTTGTATATACACATATATATATATATATCTATAATATATATAGTTTCATACTTTATTCGAATATAATAATGCTCAAGATAAGAATTAGATGTAATTATATGCATGCGTGTATTTATATTAGCAACGTAGAATACGTACATAAAAAACATATTATATATTAAACAAATACGTAAACTGAACTGAAAACAAATTAAACAAAAAAAAAAAAAAGAAAAGGAACCGTTAGTCCCAGTTGGGGTTACCAACCGGGACTAAAGGAAACTCATTAGTCCCGGTTGGTAACCCCAACCGGGACTAAAAATCTTGTGCGCCAGTGTCGCTCGGTTGGAGGGCCTTTAGTCCCGGTTGGTGTTACCAACCGGGACTAAAGGTTCCTCTTTAATCCCGGCTCGATGACCCGGGACTGAAGGTTCCACCTTTAGTCCCGGGATCGTTGTCCCGGCGCGGTAACCGGGACTAAAGGCTGTTACCGCCCGGAACAACAGGTCCATTCTGTAGTAGTGGGTTGCCGGCCTCGTACCCTCCACTGCTGCTCTGCCAAGCTCCGCCTGGCGGCTGTAGGCCAGCCTGGTAGGTGACACTTGCCACAAGGATCCCTAGCAACATGAGGTACTTGCGCTTGGCATGTACTCTCTTCTTTTTCTTTTGTGTTCTGTCGGTCTCTATTCCTGATCCTTGTGAAGTAGTACCAGTAGTAGCGTTGCTGTTGCTGGTCTCCACTGCTGCTCCTTGTGGAGTTGTGCTGGTGCTGCAGCCCGTGAACCAAAACACCAGGAACAGCAGGTTTATGAAGAAAATGACCACTGCTACCAACGCGAATATGTAGATGGATGTCTTCAAATGCTGCGTGCTTCCGGCGGCGTAGGCGCCCATGAGGCCAAACAAGCCTACCGCCGTGCACACGGACAGCGCGTGCGTCCGTATGGCTGGCCTGTACAGCTTGGGGTTGACGAGGAGGATGATGAGGGCGATGGACAGCATGAAGCTCACCGAGTTGCAGTAGAAGAAGGCCTTGTAGCGGCGCGGGAAGTTGTACAGGAGGACCGGGTCACCGGCGTGGTGCCCAGACTGGTCGTCCTGGAGCAGGAACCCCCTGGCGGAGTGAGGCCGGCTTGGTAGGTGATGGTCGCCGCCAAGATGGCGAAGAGGAGCAGCCGCTTGCGTGGCTTCTCCACCAACTCATTGTCCTTTTCCTTGTCACTCTCGCTCCTTGCGCGCGTGTCGTCGTCCAGTGTGATGAAGATGACGTGGATGACCACGTATACAAGGACGGCGCCAGCCAACGCCATGGCGTGGATGGAGGTGTTCACGTCCCGGCAGCTCCCCGCCGCGTAGGCGCCGATCAGGCCGAAGAGGTCCAGTATCATGACCGCCTCCAGCACGTGGTGGTTGAGCAGAAACTTCTCCTGGACCAGGACGATGGCGACCAGGGACGCCACCAGGGACACCGAGTTGCAGTAGAAGAAAGCCTTGTACCGCCGGTGATTCGTCGTCAGGAGGATCGGGTCGCCGGCCGTGTGGCCACCGCTGTTGTCCTGCCAGACGCCGCCCGGCGGGTCTAGCCCCGCTTGGTAGGTGATTGTCGCCGCCAGAGTGGCGAGCAGCAGGACAAGAGAGCGAGACTTGTCTGCTGCTTTCCCCTTCTCTGTTTTACTCTCCCTGATTCCATTCAGAGACAAATTAAATGAGTTCAGCTGCAATTCATATTGAATGTTTGCAAAGGAAGAAGTTCAGCTTAGTATGTACCTGCCATTCGCGTTCTCCCGATCATCAGTTGCTCCCATCATTGCTTGTTGCGCTTGCGGCACTGCTGGCCGTGTTGATGGTGTTGGTGGCTCTTCCAACAACTTGAAGGCTCTTGTAACCCATAGGAGCAACAAAATGCACAGAAGAACGGCAGCTATCAGGCTGAACACGTAGACGGTGGTGTCAGTCTGCCTGCAGCTGCCGGCGTTGTAGGCGCCGATGAGGCTGACGAGCGCGACGACGATGAACCCGTAGGCATTGATCTCGCGGAGCTTCGTGTCCAGAAGCACCACGATGATGAGCAGTGACGCGACGAATGCCGTGGTGTTGAAGCCGAAGAAGACTGCCAGGCGCGTGTTGTGACGGTCCTTGAGGATGGCGTCGCCGGGGCGGTGACCGGCGCCGGTGCTGTCCCAGAAGCCCCCCGGTGTGCTCAGCCCGGCCAAGTACGTGATGCTCACGGCGAACGTCGCGAGAAGCATCAGGACCTTGCGGAACCGTTCTTTCGCCTTCTGCCGTTCTTCTTCTTTTTCGATGGCTTCGGATTCGGGCACGCCAACGCCGGAACCGGAGTTGGGGTTTCCTTCGACTTGGCCTTCGTGCATGCCGCCGAAGCCGGTGTCGGTGAAGCACGAGGCCACCGCCACCAGACCAACGAGGTAGAAGAAGACGATGCCCACCAGCACCGAGGAGTAGACGGTGGTGAATGTGTCCCGGCAGGTGCCGGCGGCGTAGGCTCCCATGAGGCTGAGCAGGTCCACCACCATGACCAGCTGCAGCGGCCGAACGGCGAGCCTGGGGTGGTTTCTGTACTGGCTGACGATCCAGGAGTTGGTGGAGCTCTCCTTGTCGTCCAGGGAGGCGAGGATGAGGACGAGGACGATGACCACGAGCGACGCGGCGAACGCGGTGGCGTTGCAGTAGAAGAAGGCCACGTGCCGCTTGTGGTGGGTGCCCGGATGATGGGGTCGCCAGCGAGGTGGTCGGTGGTCGTGTCCTGCCAGACGTCACCCGGTGGGCTGAACCCGGCGGCGTAAGTCACCGTGGCCACCAGCGACGCCAGCAGCAGGATGTACTTGCGGAGCTCCAACATGATCTCTTGCTTTTGCTGCGGGCTGGTAGGAGTGCCATTGCTGCTGTGCCTCTGCTGATGGGTGCTCTCGTCTTGTGTTTGCGGCATTGCGGACTGGCTGCAGGAAGCAGAATCGGCACCTCAACCTCGACTAGGACTTGATGATGAGCTCTCTTGATCTCCCTCCCCCCCTCTCTCTCTGGTGAGATGTATATTGGGGAGGGAACATGGTGCTATTCATCAGCATGGCAACATGATTATGGCCTTGTTTAGTTGGCGAATTTTTTTGGAAAATGGTACTGTAGCACTTTCGTTGTTATTTGACAATTAGTGTCCAATCATAGTCTAATTAGGCTTAAAAGATTCGTCTTGTGAATTTTGTCTAAACTGTGTAATTAGTTTTATTTTTTATTTATATTTAATGCTTCATGTATGCGTCCAATGATTCAATGTGACGAGGAATCTTGAAAAATTTTGTAAAATTTTGAGAACTAAACAGGCACTATGTACAAGCAGAGGAATCAAATGCACAATATAAGTGGAATCTAATATTCATTTAACTATTGCCCGTCTTGTCACGTAGAGGAGTCCCCTCTTCGTTCATTCCTAGGGCAAAATGGTCATTGACCACGTCCTGGTCTACCTGCAGAACCATTGGTAGTCTTGGCTGTTAGACTCTTAGGACCATCTAGGTGTAGATCAGAGGGTGATATCTTTACTAATTGAATCAAATAGACGTAGAGCTTGCTTTGGGGAAAGGAGACAGAGAGAGATGTAGGAGCATCTGACCGTCGGAGGGGTTGGAGGAGCTCCCTGCCATCGCCGGTTCATCGGTGAAGCTCTGCGCTAGGCAGCGACGGTCGAAGAAGAAGGGCATCGCAGTGGAGACCGGGGTGAAGACCGTGGTGGCGCAGTGCCGTGGCGGCGGCGGTGCTTCCCGTCACTGGCTGCGCCCCTCTGTTAGATCGGAGTATGGTTTGCTGGTGGGGCATACGGCTTAAGCCAACCTCGTGCTGAGAGCTGCCGGCCCCCACCTCTATTTAATGCATAGTGTGACGAGGGCCCGCCAGCCATAGATGGACTGGGCGCCCCCAATCAGGGCGCGAGGTCAAGGCCCAAGTGGCCGTTGGGCCACTGTGGTTGGGAGATCAATCCAACATTCTCTCCCTTGATCTCAACTCATACTTTAACTTTAAACTTTGACTTTAATCCCTTTCACTTTTATTTGTTCCATCATAGATTAGTGCATAGAGCATGCTTCATCGTCACGGTCAATCGCCGATAGATTTAACAGCTATAATACACGTCTCTGTTCTGAAACAGATTCTTTAACTGTGGGCCCTTTATTGTCTGGAAATCATAGGCTTTCCCTTAAACCCATGTCGACTGTGTGTTCTCTGAACACAATGGGTGGTAAGCCTTTTGTACGCGGATCCGTAAGCACTTGCTTGTTACTTATATGTTCAATACTTTTAGTATAATTCCGGACTTTCTCCTTCACAACGTACAACTTTAACGTCGATGTGTTTGGCAGCACACTTGACCCGTTGTTATAGGAGCGAACTACTTAAATGGTTATTGCTGTTGAATACCATTATCAATTCCAGGTGTAAGTTCTTTTAAGCTTTTCGCCTGTCCTTAAGCCTCATAACAAGTTATACTATGGTTATGCATCTTTGATGACACCACAACTGTTTCTTTGGAGCTTTTCCACAATAAAACTCCAACTGCGAGTGTTAGCTACTATGTGGGTTTCACTAAATATCTCGCCAAAATTTAACATTTGTACCCACAACTATTTGAGAGTACTTATTCTTTCTTACTCACCATGAGGCCTATAAATCTTTGCACAATTGCAAAACATTCTCAACTCCATTCCAGTGATCTACATCTGGACTGTATTTCTGCCAAAACATCCCGGATACATGAACTATGTCAGGGTAAGTTCTTACTTATAAGCACTCATTAAGCTTCCAACAGCTGAAGCATATAGGATGTCCTTTCGATCTCACATTGGTTCTTGGAACACTGAAAGTTCCCAAAACTATTACCCTTGACTATAGGAACAGGCCCAGGTTTATTCACATATATACTTTATTTCTTTAGAATCTTCTCTAAGTATACACTTGAGATAGTTCTAATACCCCTTTTCCTTCTGTCTCGGTAAGTTCCAATTCCTAGAACGAATGACGCTTTACCAAGATCATTCTCATTAAAACTTGAGGACAAGATCTGTTTCTTCTCCAACAGTAGATTAACACCACTACTAGTGAGTAAGGTGCTACCCACATGCAAGATTAGGAAAATAAATTTCCCATGTTTAAACTTTGCATAAATACAATTGTCCTCTACATTCTCTTTAAAACCCAAACTTTCTTCTTGTACTGTCAAACTTCAAGTACAAATGTCTTGAAGCTTGCTTTAATCCATAAATGGATTTCTTCAGGCAATATCCCTTACATTCTTTTCCTTCCACGACAAAACCTTTTGAGTTATGCCATGTAAACTTTTCCATACAAATCCTCATTGAGGAATGTGTCTTTACATCTTTTTGATGTAACTGTAAATCGTAATGTGCCACTAACACCATTATGATTCTAAAAGAATCCTTGCATGCTGATTATAATATATTCCTTATCTTTGTGTAAATCATTTCACCACAAGTGATGCTTTATAGCTTTCAATATTCCCTTTGGATATCTTTCTATATTCCCTTTGGAGTCACCTTTGTCTTGTAGACCCATTACAGCCTACTGTTTTGGCTCCATTGGGAATTTCTTCTAAGTCCCAAACATCATTGGTATTTATCGATTTCATTTCATCTTCCTTTGCTTCTTGCCATTTAGACGAGTGAACGCCTCTCATGGCTTTTCAAATGAGGTGGAATTATCCTCTATTTGAATTTCTTTCTTATTCTTTGAGACCTTCTGGGGCCTCGTGGCACTTCTTTCATATGGGGCTTTTGTTACTCTTCATTGCCATAAGGCAATTGTTCTATAGCCTCCTGTATCATAAGATCCTTATTTACTTATTCATCTTCTTTAAGAGCTAACATCAGGTGTTGTATATGTCATACAACATCAACATGTATTAAGCAATTTGTTGCTCTAAAACATTGTAGTGGATATGTAATCCCACTTCTATTCAAGACTTAGGTATCTACATACCATGCTCCCTAAGATTACTCTATTTTCTATAAAGATGGTGTATCTTCAAATTTCTTATTTTGGGTTTAATCTGCTAAAACCTCATATGGCGCGTTTAGCTCTGCCTTGATAACTCTGAACTCGTCCAGTATAAATACTAGCCGACTATGCTATCTTCCTATTGGAACTATAAAAGGTCCAGGAATTTAGCTATTTCTTTACTTTAGGGGTATCGTTATTATGACCATCTTACTCCCTCAATGATCACATTCATCTTTTATAGATCACTTTTACCTTCAATGCATAGTATGCATTGCATTATCTGAAGTATGGGAAAGTATCTTTCTTATTTGTCTTTCTTAATTAATCTTACATTTCTTCCCCTTGAAATGTGGTATGAACTTTTCTACCATAATTTTGAAACATTCAGAACTCTTGTGAATGAGGAAACTTTGATTACTTACTTCATCCACATGATTATATCATGCAAACAAAATTCGTATGGGAGTACATTTTTCTCATTTCACTTGAAAACTCAATATAGTCTATTATTATCAATACTTCTGCAAGTCACGCTTGCATATTATTCTTATCTTTTGGTTCGCATGCAACTTTCTTTTGTTCTTAAACTCATTGAGTACTTAATGACCATGACACAATCAGAGTGTACGGTCAGTACTAGGATAGCATAAGAGCTACCCCAAACTTCTCTCCATGTGCGGGATACAGTTAGAACACATGAGTCATCACATCCTTCTCTCGCCAAGCGGGATAAGTACTATGCCAACTTTACCCCACCATGTGGGTATTTTCTCAAACTTTTCCCGTCATGCGGGTACTATTACAAACTTTTACCGTCATGCGAGATAATTCCCTTAAACGGACATAAATGCCAGGATTGGCTCATGTTCAATCATCAAATTCAGAAATAAATCCGAATATTCTTTTAACACACATGTTTAATCCAATGTTGGTCAAATTAAACATGTATATGACTTTTACAGCTCTCATAAGTGAAACTGAAAATAAATTCTTCTTCACAGAGAGTACATAAAAGACATTTCTCAATGAAGACTCTCATTGATCTATCTCTTTTCTTGGATCAATATCCTAGAATTCTTTTCTTTTGAAGCCATTCTTTAAAGAGAACATAGTCCCTTAAACAATGGCATTCTTTCATACATAACTTGCCCTTAGGCATTTCATCATCTGAGTCACAAGTACTCAGCTCATTTCTCTTACTGCCTTCAAGAATGAAAGCATGGAGGTCTTTTGTCTGAAAAAATATTCAACAATAATGCTCATTAAACTTTGAAATCTTTATGTTCTATTCTATATCACCGTTGGGCAGAAATAGAATAAAACATCATTCTTCTACATTAATTCCACATCACCGTTGGGAAGAGATGGAATTAATGTATAGAACCTCAATAAGCTTGAAAACATAGAACTGCTCCTCAAAATTAAATTCTTCCGTTGATTCGAATTTAATTAGAAGACAACCAACTTCATTACAGCGGAAACATGAAAATACATTTCTCTAGTTTAAGAGCATTCCTTGATCTTTATCTTTTCTCTGAAAAATTGGTCACTTTGATGCAAAATTCATCAGAGATTTAAACTTTAAACATAAAACTCATAGAATTATAATATTGTTATCATCAACGTTGGTCAGAAAATAATAATACCATAATTTAACTTTAAACTTACAACCGACTATTCCTCCAATTAAAATTTTCCCATTGGTTCCAATTTTAACTGGAGGATTAACTTTTCATCATTTACTGAACAACTACAACTACTCTTCAAATTAAATTCTCCCGTTGGTTCGAATTTAATGAGAAGATAATAAACTTTAACTTCGCAGTGGCAAAAAGAACTCATTTTGTTGAATTTTACTCACAGGGAAAATTACTTTTTCTATTTTCTTTTTGAGCCAATTTCCATTTTTCAATTTTTTGG